AATTTTAAACGTTTTCAAATATATTATCACAAATACTGTAACTTTCATTATTTTTGCTATCTTGTTATATCTGAGCAAATCAAATGTAAATCATAAATCAATCTATCTCCAGAACATTAACAATCGTCGTTTCATTTCGAATTCAATTTCAAAAAAATACCTAAGTTGCCTAGTAGTTTACACAAAATTGAAAAAGTGCTCCTGTATAGTCAAAGTTTTATAGCAAAATAATCCTGTATAGCAAATAATTCTGTGCGATTTTCACTTATACTGTGCTTAGCTTGGTGGCATTTTCACATTTTTCAATAGTTTTCACAAAATTGAAAAAGTGCTTCTGTTCTGTTTAGTCAAAGTCTAAACGCATTTGGGTAAACATTTGTACCAGAGTGGCGCTTAGACTGTGCTTAGCCTGGGTCATTTTTTGAGTTTTTAATCCAAAATTACAAAAATATTTTTTGAAAAAAAAAATAGTAGAAACAATTTTTTATTCCGAACGCAATTATTTTGTTGAAACAAGCAGAATGTTATTAGATCATTCAAATCGGACGCTTCGTTCTCTCAAAAACTGCTTTTTTTAACATTCAGCTCTGTATCTCCTAAACCGCTGGGCTTACCTTTGCCAAAAACTAATAACCACTTTTTGCGAACTGAATGTTTTTTGAATCATACAAATCGGATGATCCGTTCTCTCAAAAACTCGATTTCTATTTTCTGCACTTTTGCTCCATATCTCCATAACGGCTGGACCTGCCTTTGCCAAAAACTAATCAGCACATCTCCCTATTAATAGGAATCGAATGTATTTTAAACCATCCAAATCGGTTGATCCGTGCGCCCGAAAACGTGGACGAAAAAATGCGGACATACAAAACACACGCACGCACACACACATCCATTTTTTCTGAGGTATGCCAAAATGTTCAGAAACCTTCAAAACGTCGAGAAATGCAAAAATTTTCATTTTCGATTTTCGGCCCATTACTATAACTATATAAATATATTTTAAATATAATTTGTTGTTCATATAAGAAAGCCTGCACACTATGTGAAACTGTATTATTTATCTTAAATTTAATTTTTTTTTATTAAATTTCATTACACTCTTTTATATTTTGATCTTAAGATTAATAAATTTTCCTTATTTAAAATAAAGATGAATATATAAAGTATATAAAAGCTTATCTAATCTAGCAAATCAACATTCAATCTAGGCTAAACATCAACATTTATCATAAAATATATAAACCAATTGAACTATTACATTTTATTTTATTTATAAAAATATAAATCTTATACTTGTATTTACAGTAAGTTATCTGTTATATTGAAAACTGTACAAAAGTAGTGTCAGGTTAACATAGATATGAATTCATTTATTTAAAAAAATGTTTATTTTTTTATTTATTTAAAAAAGTGTTTATTTTTTTATTTATTTATTATTCCTTTGCCTCTTCTTCTTCTTTGCGTTTTTGGGCCAACATACGACGATAGTTAAGTTCTGCAGGTGGAATATAAGAATATTTAGGAATCTTAGGTAACGCCTGTTCCGGAAATTCTTCAGGAGGAACGATAGGTTCAGGCTGCATATTGCATAAAGGAATCTTTTTATTACCAGGACATGATGCGACTAAAGTATCACTAGATTTAACCTTCTCAAGCTCCTCTGTTACTTGTGGAGTTCTCAATTTCTTTAATGGTCTCAAAGGTTCTTCGGGTTGCATGTCTTGACGAATCCTAAACATTCCTTGATTGCACCTGACTTTGGTTCCTTCTGGTGCATAAATCTTGTCAATTACACCGGATACTGGTGAGTAAACGGAAACAGCGTAAAGATCTGTATCTATTTCCGCAACGATGTCTTCCTGCGTGACTTTTTCTCCGACATGTTTTCCATATCTGAAATTTAAAACAAAATTGAAAGCATGAAATACTTAGGACTGATAATAAATGAAAAACTGACATGGACAGAATATATAAACAAAATAAAAAGAAAGATAGGAACATTAACAGGGGCATTGAAAAGGATCCACTCTTTCGGCAAAAAAAATAAAATACTAATTCTTAAAACGCAAATAATACCTATAATTTTATATGGAATAACAACATGGAGCCAAAAAACTAAAGCAAACCCAAATGACATACAGAGAATAATGAATAAAGCCACAAAAATAGCATATAATCTTCCACACCTAATACCCACCAAAGACTTACAGAGAGAAACAAATAATCATTCACTAAATAACATAATTAAAATAGAGAATTGCAAGTGCAATAATAGACATAAATCAAGATATACATGAACAATACACTAGAACCCAACAATTTTCACATTGAATACAATAGAAAGAAGAATTTGAGAGAAAATGCCATATAGAGTGCTAGCAAAATATATAATGAATTGCCAAACGATATTAAGATGACCAATAATGACGATAAATTTAAAAGAAAAATAAAGAAATACTATAAGGAAATTGAAGACAAAGAATACTGAAGAGTTATATAATAGGTTGTCAAATATCTCCCTTCCGCCTTTTTGTATTATAAACCAAGAGCAAAAAAGCGGAAGGGAGATATTTGACAACCTAATATAAAGATATTTTTTTATATATAGTAATTATATTAATGAAATAGTCAAATGAAATGTATATATTATATGAAAACTGTTTTTCATAATCTCTCATACCAGGCACCTCTGTCTGACTGAGATATGAAAATAATGTATATACGTAAATAAATAAATTTAATAAGTCATGAATGACATTTATTATATCAACTTTTTACCTAACAAAACCGGTGCTATTTTTCTTTTCATCAAAATCCGGAGACCGTACGACAATATATTGTGCATCACCTTCGTCGCTGTAGGCCCTTTTATTAAACTTTAGTTGTCCCTGTGCCGTCTGTAGAATAAAATAAAAATTTATATAAATTAATTACAATTTTCATTTATTATTACCATACCCGTAAGGCGACAAGGTTTCTAACAGCCAAAAATTTGAACATATTGAAAATACTTGAATTTTTTTGTAATTTTTACTTTTAAATTTTTATTTGGTTTTTTCTAAATGAATATATTTTTTTTTGTTTTGTTTTTGGGTGTCTGGGATTACATATTGTTATATGATTGATGCACAGCATTCTAGGATAATGTTTCAAAAACAAATTTTGCAAAAAACAAAAATAAAATGTTTTTTGCCGTTAATTTGAATACCAAAAACCGTTATGACAGGTCTCTGCAAAAGTGTGACGTGAAGTTAACCGTAGACAATAGAAGTGTCAACTTTCTTACTCGTTATGTCATAAGACAATGTAAAGTGCTAAAATATATTTAATAATATATAATTTAATAATTATGGCATCTAGTTACAAAGCATATATGAGATTATTAAAAAAGTGGCCAATAGATAAAACTAAACGTGATAGGTAAATAAGTTTATTCACAATGAAAATATTTTAGGTTATGTTAACCTTATTCTTTTTATCCAATTTCTAGAGATCTTGGTAGATACCTCCGTGATAACGTAAAATCCTTTTTTGTACAAGGAGAAATAACTCCAGTCGACGAAGTCGACTGTTTAAAGAAAATAAGCGCTTTGGAACGTTTATCAGCAAATACATACTTCTTAAAATACAAAAGAGAGATAACTCATCTTCAACTGGTCTTACATCTGAACAGTGCAGCCAAGTGCTCTCATCAGACTTCCTAGAATATTTAGAGAACGAAGATAAAGGATTCATTTCTAAATTGATCCCGAAGTAAAATCTGCAGAAGAAGCAAAACCCGCAGAAGCTTGAATCATAAAAGTTTAATAAGATGCACAAAGTTTTTAAAAGTATCCCCAAGAACATATTTTTTTCTAGTTTGGCAAATGTGTTACCAAAGCAATATGAACACCATACACCAGTTATGTCCAAAGAAGTACTCAAAGCTCTTGCTCCAAAATCAGGTGAAACTATTGTTGATATGACATTCGGTGCTGGTGGCCATACAAAACAAATTTTAGATGCAGTGCCCAATATTAAAATGATTTGTTTAGATAGAGATCCTGTAGCTTATAATTTTGCAAAAGAACTCTCTGATAAATATCCTGGACAAATCATTCCTTTATTAGGCAGATTTTCAGAATTACCTGAGTTATTGGATTCACATAACGTTGAATCAAACTCTATAGATGGTTTTCTGTTTGATTTCGGTTGTTCTTCCATGCAATTTGATGTGGGTGAAAGGGGATTTTCAATAAGTAAAGACGGACCTCTTGATATGAGAATGGATGGTAATCGATGTCCTGATCAACCAACAGCAGCAGATGTATTAGATAGAGCTAGTGAGGAAGACATTGCTAAAATAATTAAAATCTATGGAGAAGAGAAACAATATAAAAAAATTGCACGTGCTATAGTTGATGCTAGATATACTTTTAGACGACTGGAAAGAACATCAGAATTGGTTGATTTAATTAATTCTGTTTGTGAAGATGAAATAAGACACGATAAACTTAACAGATTCAGTAATGTAGCTACCAAAACATTTCAAGCTTTGAGAATCTTCATAAACAACGCTAAATGAAATCAATTACGCCATGTTACTAGCAAAACATTACTTAAAAATTCATGGACGCATGGTTACAATTTCATTTCATTCTTAGAAGATACAATAGTAAAACGTCATATTATGGGGCACTTGGTTGAAGGTGTTGCAAACGCTTTGCCTTTGAAATTCTCAGATCCTACTGTAATTTATGATAAGTATATTTTGCAAAATATGATGAAGTCACCTTGGAAATCTTTATATAAACATGTATTAGTTCCATCAGATGAGGAGGTTGATATGAATCTAGAAGTCGATCGCTGAGACTTAGGGCTGCCATAAAAGTAGAATGAACTTATAACATAATACATAAATTTGTGATTAATAGTATAAAATATAGATAGTTTTTATATAAACTCGTATATTATTTTTACCTTACATATAAATCATTTTTATTAACAACAAGAACATTTTAAAACAAACCCTCTATTTCACCAGTTTCTGTATTTAAATCAATATCATAAATACTTGGTCTTGTGGGAAGTCCAGGCATTTTGCTAATTTCGCCCACCAAGGGAACAATGAAACCAGCTCCGGCGGATAAGAACATATCGTTTATCACTAATTTAAAACCAGTAGGAGCTCCTTTAATTGCTGGATCTCCAGTTAGGGAGTTTGATGTCTTAGCCATGCAAAGAGGTAATATTCCGTAACCCTGGAAAAATAATATACATGTAAGAAATGCTTCATATACGCATTTTGTATTGTTGACTTACTTGAGATTCATATTTTTGTACAATTTCCTTGACCTTTGGCGATAATTCAACTTCTCCAGCTCCATACATCTCGCCAGCGATGATGTTCAATTTTTTCTCGATAGACAAATCGAGATCGTACAAAAGTTTAAAATTGTCGGGTTGTTTGCTGGCGTCTATTACAGCATCAGCCAGTTCTAGGGCTCCTAAACCACCTCGGGCCCAATGATCGCATACAACTGCACGGAAGGCTCCATTCTTTAAAGCTGCTTCTTTTACCAAAGCTACCTCTTTGGCGGTATCATTACTAGAATAAATTACAAAATTTTAAAATGGGATCGTAGTAAATTGTATCTAGTTTCTCCCTATCTAACTGAAAAGGGGTGCTTTCATATGATATTTGTTAGTTATTTGACAAAAACCAAAAAAATGTCCCGAATTTTCAATTAAATGCTAAGGAATATGAAAGATCGAATTCAAAGTCGTTTTATTCCAAAATTTTATATCGGTGTGTATATTACTGTTGGCATGGAATCGTAGCAAATTAAATCTAGTTTCTTCCTACCTAACTGAAAAAGGGTGCTAAAATTCTTGGTCAATTTTTAATTATTCCATTTTAAAGTCATTTTTTACCTGTGAGTGTTAATAGCAACAACTACTGGCAGACCGTGCTTTACTCCGTTACTGATGTGTTTGTACAAGTTTGGCAAACCCTTTTCGAGTAATTCCAAGTTTTCCTGTGTGTATTCTGGTTTAAGTGGAGCACCAGGAGTTACAGCAGGGCCTCCTCCGTGCATTTTAAGGGCTCGAATTGTGGCAACCAGAACTACGGCCGCTGGACGTTCACCGGAGGCACGACATTTGATGTTGATGAATTTTCCATTCCTGGAAGAAAACATGTTAAATTGCTTAAAGGGGCCTCCATTAATCATGGATGGACTTTTTAAGGATTTTTTGACCTCCGCTCCCCCTTTGGTGATATTCAAAATTATACCGCCGCCCTTACCCCACCAAACATCACGTGTAAAATTGTATTTTAAAAATTTTGTTTGAAAACGTTTGGATTTACACAAAAAAAGTAAATAAATAATTACACGTTATATCTTACTAACACCTCCTTCACCTTCCACGTGATATTTTTCGTGATTTTGTGTCAAACCTCCATTCCCCTTAAAAACCCAACGTGATTAATGGACGACCCTAAAAGGATATACTAGTCGAGAAGTTTAAAAAAAATCGTTTTTTTTATTATAAAATGGATGTACCTATATCGGATCCAAAACCGGCTTCAGTGACTACAAAACCATCCTTTCCAACCAATTTTAAGGCTATAGAATCTGCGACAATAGATGAACATCCATGTGCAATATTCGCAAAAGGTCCAGCATGAACCAGAACAGGAGTTCCTTCTAAAGTTTGCATCAGAGTTGGTTCCATTGCGTCCTTCAGCAGCACCAGCATTGCTCCAGTAACTCCCTAGGATAGAAATAGTTATTTCACAAAAACCAAAAAAATGTCCCGAATTTTCTATTAAATGCTGAAGAAAATGAAAGATCGAATTCAAAGTCGTTTTATTCCTAAATTTCATACCGGAGTGAATTTTATCTAGTTTTTCCCTATCTAACTGAAAAGGGGGCTTCATATGATATTTGTGAGTTTATCTGACAAAAACCAAAAAATGTCCCGAATTTTCTATTAAATGCTAAGAAAATGAAAGATCGTATTCAAAGTTTTTATTCCAAAATTTTTGTTTTATTCCAAAATCTTTATCGGAGTGTATATATTGTTGGCATGGGATCGTAGTAAATTTTATCTAGTTTCTCCTTATCTACTGAAAAGGGGTGCTTTCATATGATATTTGTGAGTTATTTGACAAAAACCAAAAAAAAATGTCCCAAATTTTCTATGTATTTCCAAGAATAATGAAAGATCGAATTCAAAGTCGTTTCATTCCTAAATTTTATATCGGAGTGTATAGAACTGTTGGCATGGAATCGTAATAAATTTTATCAATCTGATCTCTACCTCAAATTTGTATTATCTTACCAAATCATCAGCGGTGACTGGATTTCCCTTCTTATCAAAAGCAACGACCATTTTGGCAAGACGTTGCTTCATATCTTCCAAACTTGTGGCTAAAGCTAAAATTGCCATTATTTCACTGGCAACAGAAATTGCAAAACTAGTTTCGCGGGTAAAGCCCTTTTCTGTAGGTGATTGCCCTACAGTAATTTTACGCAGGTAGCGATCGTTCAAATCCATCACTGTAAAAAAAAAACAAATATGTAGTAATCTACTAACAATGGGTAAATTTTAAAATGAATTTAATAATATTTACCTCTGGTCCATACAACCTTGTTAGGATCTATATCTAGCCTAGCAAATCTGGTTCTTTCTTCTTCAGTCAATGAATCAGGGTCAGTTTTATCTATATTTAATCTTTTTAAACGCCGGAGTTGAATTGCAGAGAATTTCCTCACGCCTTTAATCCTGAAAAAGTACCAGAAACGAAATTAAATATCTAAAGAAGTTTATAAATAATTATTATTAAGTAAATTAATTTACTTAGGAACTAGACGGTCATAAAGAGCTTGATCCGTTTGTGTTAATTCGTGGAAAATCCTTGTATCCAATTGAGCTGCTAATAAATTATTTGCAACTGTTACTGCATGAATATCACCTGTTAAATGCAAATTGAAATCTTCCATTGGAATCACTTGGGAATATCCACCTCCGGCTGCTCCTCCTAATTAAAAAAAATACATGTCTTCTATTTTATCTTAAAGTTTTTCGGTACCTATCACCTTTAATTCCATTAGACAAAAATACACGTTTTTTATTTTGGAGATCTTAAATTTTTTATGTATCTATTATTACCTTTGATTCCAAATGTTGGCCCTTGAGAAGGTTGCCTCAAACAGGCAAATGCATTCTTTTTGCGATGAGCCGTAAGAGCTTGTACTAATCCAATCAAAGTTGTACTTTTACCTTCTCCCAGAGGAGTAGGCGTTATGCTAAGGGATAATAGATATATTAATCATTTATAATTGGATTTATATAAGCATGATTTAATAATTTTCATACCCTGCGACGACTACATAACTTCCTTTTGGAGATTCTTTAAGGCGATTTAAAACGTTAAGAGATATTTTCGCCTTTTTACTTCCATACTGAGACACTTCATCTGTGATAAGACCAACTTCTTCAGCTAGGTCAGAAATGTTCTTGGGATCTTGCGATCTTGCAATTTCTATGTCACTAAAATAATAAAATTGAGAAATGCATTTACGATATTTTCAATTAGCAAAAATATGAGTTTTTGAAACAGCATGGGTAACAAAAATGAAAGACCTTAATAAGATACGTTAAATTAGTTTTAGACTTATTTATACACAGTGCCCTTTTAATGAATAAATAAAGACCTTATCGATTAATTTAATCAATTGTTAGTTAAAATAGTATTCAATAGTAACTGGATTAATTATTCCATTAAATATATCCTTCATTACCATATCTCGTGATACACAAACAAAAAACACGTTTTAGCTTGTGCATTATTTCTAGAATGTAGGTATTAGTAAATAGTAGCAATTCATACAGATAGTAATTTATTCCCAGACAAAAACTTGTAAATATAATTAAGTATATATATATATATATATATATATATAATTGAATATCTTTTGTAAGAAAAGAATGTTACAGAGATAAGCGCTGTCCGTAATTCGATAATATCAATTTTAGGAAATAAGATAAACAATAATAAGATAAATGATAAGAAATTTAACTTTTGAAGCATGCATATATTTAAACAGCCAATTGTGATTGACGAATATACTCGTCATGGCAAAGTGGCATAATTTTGTGTATTGACGAGTATTTTCATACATAAATAAACCTACAGGATTTTATTTATATAAAAATTGAATTACTGTGTATTAAAAAAAATTAATAGTGATTTAAGAATTATAGGTGAAACCCAAAATATTACTTTCATTTCATATTATTTATTTAACAAATTAACTGTGGTTGACAAATAAATTTTAATTTTAATTGTTGAAGTATATTTTTTGCCTTAAGGTAAAATGCCACTTACAGATACTCATTTTATACAGTCAAAGTCTCAAAATATTCAAAACAACCAGATATTTCACAACAAATGTTGTTTTTTGTAAAAATTTCAATTTAAATAGCAAAGGTTCACTGTTTAATACGCTTGACGAATATACACGTCAATACACAAAACTTCGTAACGAGTATATTCGACAATCGGTTAAAAAATATTATGAAACTAGTGGGGCGCATGGCATCGTGCCTCAAGGCAAATTGCTGGAACTTCCCGTACCAAAAATTATTATTTTTTTTAAAAACGATTAACATTTTTGAAAAAAAATTACTTCGAGAAATTTAGATTTTTGAGAAACAAAAAATAACTTTTTTTGAAAAAAATATTTTTTTTAAAAAAAAAATGTTTTCTTTATTTTAACATATTTTGGAAATTCTGAACTTTTTTCAAAGCAACCGTACTGCTTTAACTGCATATAGAGACGAAATGTCAAAGCGCGTAAGCGCCGCGTCGCCGTCTAACGGATGAACAATGGTACGGAACCCATATTAATGTAAACAAAATTTATACTTATTGTTAAAATCTTTATAAAATATCTGATAATTTGATGTGCATATGTCTAATGATGATTTTTGACCGCCAAATGGCGTTTTTTTTTACTTTTTTCATTAGATCTCCGAAACCGCTAGACCTGCCTTTATGAAAATTTGATCAATTCTTTATCAATACAAGTAAAATGTTTTTTGAATTATTCAAATCGGACGCTCCATTCTCTTAAAAACTGAGTTACCATTTTTGGCACTTATTGCCCCGTATCTTCGGAACGGCTAGATCTGCCTTCACCAAAAACTAATCAGCACGTCTTCTTATCAATACGAATCGAATGTTTTTTGAATTATTCAAATCGGTTGATCGGTGTTCCCGAAATCGTCGACGAAAATTTGTATCCGCACACACATACACACATACATATACACACACAGGCACACACACACATACATCCGTTTTTTTTTAAGTATGCCAAAATATTCAGAAACCTTTGAAACGTAAAGATATATAAAAATTTCATTTTCGATTTTTTTGCGATTACTATAATTTGCCCTACAAGAAGTTAATAAAAATAATATTCAGGGTTTTAAATCACTAAGTCTCAAAATATTCTAAATAGCAAACGTTTACTGTTTTCATACACTTGACGAATATACACGTTAATACACAAAATCCTGTCCATTTTTCATGACGAGTATATTCGTCAATTGTTTAAAATAAATATTATGCAATAAAAATAATATTTAGGGTTTTAAATCACTATAAGCCTTAAAATATTCCGAATAGCTGCCAATTCACCATGAAGAGTATATTCATCAACCACAGTTAAATAAATATATTAAATATAAATAATATTTAGAATTTTCACCTAAAATTCTTATATCACTGAGCACTATTTGTAATTAACTAAATAATTTTTAAAATGTTTATGCATAATGCAACTACACAGTAATTTAATTTAATATTTATAAAATTAAAATTAAATAAATTTTTCTAATTTTGAGTTATGTATATATATATATATATATATATATATATATATATATATATATATATATATATATATATAATACATTACTATATACATTATATAATTATTATGTTTATTACCTGGGTACGGGCGTCTTGAGGGCGAGCGTCAGCGGTTTGAATGCCCAAGCCATGTCGACTAGCCGGTCTACGTGTCTTCGTGCTGACTGCACCGTGTTTTGCATCAACATAGCCACGGTCATCGGGCCGACCCCACCAGGCACCGGCGTTATGTGAGAGGCAACCAGACGAGCCTCGTCGTAGGCAACGTCGCCGACCAGGCGCTGGCCGCACTTCTTGGTAGAATCTTGGTAATGAATAATAATTAATTGAATTGTAAAATATACTTGAATGAAATTCTGGAGATTTTTTTTGGCTGAGTTGTTGAAATTAAAACGATTTTGTACGTTTCGACGATATGTGCGTGGCATCATTCAGCAAGTTCATTTCAGGAAGAACATAACAAAAATAAAATATTGTTTTGTATTATAACAAAGAACACAAAACTTTGAAAAAAATATATAAATAATACTATAAAATTATGCAATTTGCGGCTTTTTTAGGGGGAGAGCCTTAAAAAAGCCGCAGGAGGCTTTTGAGCTTAGAGCAGTGATTTCCAACCTTTTTTGGACCCCGCCTCACATTGAGGTTTCAAAAAACGTTATGTCCCACTCATACAACTTTTTTTGTTTCTGAAAAAATGTGAATAACTTTTAAGCCAAAATCACTATCACATTGTTGTTGAATATCATAAGTAAAATTTCAGAATAAGCCAAAAACAAAAATTTCAAACTAATTTTATTATCGTTTTTTCGAAATTTATTGAATACAATGCTTAAGCTTGGTGCCTGCTGCACAAAGATTTTATATTAGGTAATAAAGTAGAAAATAAATAAAAATTTAAAAAAAATATTATTACAAACATAAACACTAAGCACGTATGTAACACTGCTAAAACTGTTAGTAATTATGAAAATTTAGTGACTATAGTTGTAATATTTTTTTAAATATTTTTTGATAACACAGACTTTCAAAATTAAAGTCTGTTAACTGATGACATAAAGATATGAAAAAAATGAGGATGCTCTGAAATATTTTTTTTACTTGATGTCATGCCTTCTGATTTTAAGAGTTTATTAATATATTTTTAAATTATTACCATTAAAATGAATTTTTGAGAGCTAATATTGATATTTGAAATAGATTTGAATTTTATGTTCAAAGATAATGAAATGAATTTGAATTTTACCCTCAAAAACAATTTTTCTGACCATAATAAAATTACACGAACTAATTAATGTAACAAATAAAAATATTTTAAATATTAAAAACTATATTATAGTGCATCTTCGTATACCCTGAGATAATAATAAAAAAATAAACAGCATTCATTATTGTAATGAATATATATATAATATATATAATGAATCGCAATCAAATTATATTTAATATTACGAAGAAAATAATATATAATTTATGATTTTTACAAATTAAAAAAATGCCCTTCTCATCTTCTTCTATACGTACTTTTATATTTAAAGAGTTTTATGAGATTTGATAAACTTTGAACTTGTATATAAATATGTGATAAATATTGTGACGAATGAAACTTATATCAACAATAACATAAAAGTAAGGTCTTGAATTTAGAGCAAAATATAGATCAAGTTTAAGATGTAATATTAATTATATATATATATATATATATATATATATATATATATATCTATATATATATATTTATAAATAATTTACCTGGTATTGCGTTAATTCCACAATCAATAACAACAGCTCCTTCTTTGATCCAACTTCCTTTGACCAACTCAGGACGTCCAATACCGACGACTAAAATATCTGCTTTTTTAGTCTATAATCATCACAAAAATTAAAAAAAAACATATTTATAAGATACAGATAATAATGAACATCGCTATTAAGTAATTAAAAATAAATATCAACTGAATACTCTGGTCACTGCCTATAGTCTCAAATTTCATATTCAAAGTAGTGGCTTTAGTAAGAGGCTCTTACTTATTTACTAAGAGCATGTATTAGAGATTTGGAGATATGCTTATTTAAAGAGCTATAAAATTGCCAAAACAATGAGTAATAGATTTTAATTTGAGTAATAGATATCAGAAAAGATAAAGGTTTTCAAACATAATAATCTTAGTTACAAATTTTGCAGAACAACATGGACTTATCCATAATTATTCAATTACTCATAAAGTCACCAATTAGAAATGCGATATATTTTTTAAAATCAATTAATTATTCGTTGAAATATATAATCGAGGTAGGAATAATTTTATTGAAAACCCTATTTGAATATGTACTACTTAAAATTTTGTTATTTTAATTAATTTCTTTAGAATTGCATAAAAATCTATTGCTTTAATTATGTACAGAGATCGTTATAACGAGGTATAAATGTTATTAACTTAAGTTTAATATATGATATAATTAATTGTATACGCTATTGTTATATGAAAAGAGAGGATAAAAGGTAGAATATACGAAAAAATGAATGAAAATTCGCTCGTTGCAGACACTTCTAGTGCTGCCAAGATTAATAAAAAAAAGTTTCAAACGAAACAATGAATAAACAAATTCAATGTATATCTTGATTCCTATTTTTAAAGCGAAAAAAAATTGTAAAATGAGCAAGATAAACATACAATGCTTAAAGTTTATAGTATAAATAAAATATTTCTGTTAAATATATAAAAGAGTTTAAGTACAAAAATTTAATAAAATTTCTTTTACCTGTTCAGGTAAATTTGCAGTTTTCGAATGGCAGACGGTGACAGTGGCGTCAGCCCATTTCAAAAGCTCGCTGACAGGGGTACCGACAATTTTACTACGACCTAAGACAACGGCATTGGCACCTTTAATTTGGACGCCACTGCGTCTAATCAACTCCATACAACCGTTGGGGGTACAGGGTAAAAAGCCGCCCATATCGCCTACTGCGACACGTCCTTCGTTGACTGTGTTCAACCTGAAAATGATAAAAAATATTTTGTCAATATCGTAACATAAAATTCAGACTTATAATTATTTTTTTTGTATATTTTGTATATTCACCCATCTACATCTTTGCTAGGAGAAACAGCGTCAGTAACAAGATGAGAGTCAATAGGATTTTCTGAATCTAAGGGCATCTGAACAATAATACCATGAACATTTGGATCTGCATTGAGACGAGCCAATTTAGCCAAAAGTGCATATTGAGTGGTACTTCTTGGTAATTGGACATGCTCTGCTTTCATACCAATTTCTGTTGCCGCCTAGTAACAATAATAAAAATACACTACATTTTCTAACTAAACTCAATTTAGAGAAATCGAAACTACAATTCACTTACCTTAATTTTCATCCGAATATAAACATTGGAATCTTCCCTTCCACCGACTTGCACAATAGCCAATCCTGGACAAAATCCTGGTACTTGTTCCTTCATACGAGACACCTGCTCTCGTAATGATTCCCGAATTTCTCTAAAAATAGAAAACGTTTAGATTTAAATATTTCCTTATTTTATTATTAAAGGGCACAACTAGTGTGAAATTTTCAAAAAATCGAATTTTCAATTTTTCCATATTTCGATAGGTTATATATTTAAAAATAACATACCAAAATTTTAAATCAGTATCTTAAATAGTTTTTGAGTTTCAGCCATTTAAAGAGTATATATAGTATATAGTATAACGATCATTTAATCTTTAAACGCGTTTTTCTCGAAACAACATTTTTCGAATTTGCTGCAGCGATTACTCAAAAACAAATGATCCGATCACTATCAAATTTTTTTTACATGTTCTATATATAGTTCTCCGTAAAATGAACTATCGATTTTTTGATCGGATCAAAAAACGAATTTTGGCAGTCCAAAAACGACCGAAATTTTGGGTAAATTTCGATTTTTTTTTAAAAAACGCAGTCGTTTTGTCAATTTTTGATTATTTTTCTTTATCGTAGTTCATTTTACAGACAATATTATCTAGTTTAACGAGATTTTTTTTTATAAATTTCATCCACGTAGAAGGCCGGAATCACTGCAGCAGTGAAGGGCCTTTTTTGTCACGCCGTTGGAGATCGACGATAACTTAAAAAATATTTAATTTTTTTCTTCAAAAATTTTACTATGTATTCTTAAAACATGTATGAATATACTCCTTCAAATTTTGAAATGATTAATAAAGTAGCTTTTTTAATATAAATTCCCAAAAATCACCTTTTTTTAGGCGGTTACACTAGTTGTGCCCCTTAATATATCAACTTTTTATTATTATTATTACCTGGCAACCTCCGTTCCCGACAAAATCTGTCCACGAGCCATTTTCCGGTCTCCGTTTTGTAAATCTGTATGAAAATTAGATTTTTCATGATTAGTTCCATTCACTACCGACATTTTCCAAGTTTGAAAAAATATTGGAAATTTTTCGAGGATTTGCACAAGCCGGAGATACGTTTGCTCGTATAATTAAGAGCAAATTGACTCAGAAACATGCTAATGTTTTCGTGCACCGTTGAAATAGATAAGCGAATATTTACGATGATGCTTTTTTGGAGATATTGTCGAATTTTGGCAGCGGACTTGAAGTTTTATTGACCTGGGACGAGATAATAAGTCACCTTGTAAAGGCAAATATATTGATGAATTGTGCGAAGCTTGGGGGGCTGGCAACAATTTTAAAAGAATTTTGGAAAAAAAAGTTTTATTTTTTTAATTTGAAAATTTTTGTTAAATTTGAAAAACTATACTATCAATGAGAATACTTATACTGAAATAGATATAAAGATTAAAATTATAAAAATGAAACAGCACAAGTTAAAAGCTGAAGAGCTCTTGGAGGAAAACTGATGGAGATCAAATACTAATTTATTTATTCTAAAAAGTTTTTGCACAAGCTTATGATTTATTTATAATTTTTGTTGAATTTTTTGTATGATGCACCTTAAACTTGCTAAAAATTGCTAAACAATTTAGATTATAAAACCAACTGTTGTTCCATACCTTGTGCAAATTCTCTTAAAAATTTTGATAAAACGTTTATAAAATCAAAATCACTGCTTTTGCTCCAATCAGATAAAGACGACTGCAGTTAATCAATATATGCATTTTGAATATAAGGTTACAAATTAAAAAAAAAAACACGCATCTAGAACAACATCAATGCTAATTTCATAATATGTTTACTCATATATTGTTTACCATTTGAGCAGCAATTTTATTGGATTAAGTTATGGAATATACTAAGTTGATTAAATTCGGATGAAAAAGGTTATTAAATATTTTTACTTACTTCTATAGAACCCAAATAAAAATTTCCTGCTTTTTTGAACTTGCTTGAAAGTCAACAGTTGCACTATGCAAATCATTGCAGATAGACACTACTGACGATTGATTATAATCTACACTGATTGCCATTGCAAATATCTATTGCACAATATTTTATCAATAAATCAAAATGAGATTTTAAAAAATGATGTAGCAGCAAATAGAATTATGCATGATTATATCAACTATTTATAAATTTAATATAGTAAGATCATAAATAGAAAATCTTAAGCTTTCATATGAAGGTAAGCTAATTTCTGCAATATTGTGTATTAACATATAAAGAACCCTTATTGTGGGTAGAAACTTAGCACAATCATCAATGACAGGATATCTACATATGTATTAAAGTTTTTTTGAAAGTTAGAGTGATTCTCAAGATAAAACCAATATTAATATTTCTCAGTCCTTTAGTATTATCTATCGAAATCGTTGTTGTGAAAACTCTGTTAAAAATGAGAACTATTTTATGTAAATGTTTCATGTAAAATAAAATTTTACTCTATCTTATAGCTTAAAATGCTATTAACTATAATAAGTTAAAACGAGATGTTACATGCCTCCAGGCAAAATTCTGAAAGAACCGTTTACTGGTATCCTAATTGCTGGTATATATTAATTTGTGGCAATATTTAATATAAAATTAATTTTTAAAAATCGTAAACGATCGATTTTTGTTGTAGTATATTCAAATTTCAAAAGCATGCTAATTTCTCTACGTGATTAGAAGAGAATGAACACCAAATTTAAAAAAAGTATTTACAGGTCGTCTAATTTATTTCCAAAAGATGTATTTTAAATATATTAGATGTCTATATAAAATTGTGGTACAATTTTATACAAAAAATAGATTTTGTCCATTTTGGTTGTTTACTTAAATTTGAATTTTGCGCGTTTTGTAAAATAAAACGTTTTGTTCATGTAAAATAAAATTTTACTCTATCTTATAGCTTAAAATGCTATTAACTGTAATAAGATAAAACGAGCTGTTACATGCCTCCAAGCAAAGTTCTGAAATAACCGTTTCCTGGTATGTTAATTGTTTGTATATACAAATTTGTGGTAAAATAATGCAATATTTAATATAAAATTGATTTTTAAAAATTATAAACTATCTTTTTTTGGTGTTGTATAAACAAATTTCAAATGCATGCTAATTTCTCCACGTGATTAGAAGAGAATGAACACCAAATTTAAAAAAAGTATTTCCTGGTCGTCTATATTATTTGAAAAAATGTATTTTGAGTATATTATGTCTCTATATAAAATTGTGCTGCAATTTTATCCAAAAAATAGATTTTGTCCATTTTGGTTAACTTCAATTTGAATTTTGCGCGTTTTGTTCCACGTGACTCAAAAAGATGAAATTAGTCGCAGATGTCAATGTCATGTTTTGTTTGACATGCTTTATAACCTACAATTGTCAAATTAACGTTTTAGGCTGTTTTTAAACTTTTATATAATTTACAATGTATAAAATTAATAATTAGTGGTATATTTAATGTTTTGTTTTATTCAAATTCTCTTTAAAATGATTAGATTAATCAGAAGGTTTTCTACAAAAAAGCTAAAAGATTTGACGCACAATGGACCTGCTATAATAAGTTGTAAAAACTCGGAATTAAATCATTACACCAGAGCTAAATATGGAAAATTCGAAGAAATACCTTTGGCTTCCAAAGGCTGGAACCACAGAAAGTCCAGAGGTGATTTTTTTGTTCTACACCCATTTTTTGAGGGTGAGAAAACCAACATCGAAAAGGAAAGTCAGGAAAGTAGTTTCCAAAGTCTAGGAATAAATGAAAGAATTATAAACTGTCTAAAAAATAATGATATTTGTTCTCCAACGCAAATACAACAGAAAGCTATACCATCGATTCTAGCTGGCAACAATACTTTAATTGCCGCTGAAACTGGTTGTGGCAAAACATTGGCATTTTTACTACCCCTTGCGCAACAAATAATTGATTGGAAAGCCCTCCAAAAAGATACGGCATTCAACACTCCATTAGGTCTTATAATTCTTCCCAGTAGAGAATTAGCAAGCCAAATTGGAGAAATAGCTCTTAAATTGTCAGAAGAATTATCATTCACCACAAAAGTCATCATAGGTGGTAAAACAAAACAGAAATTACTCAATCCAAAATTTGAATCAATTGATTTGCTCATATCGTCCTTTGGAGCCTTGAGTAAACTTGTTACTAATAAGATTTATAGAATGAATAACGTGCGGCATGTCGTTTTAGATGAGGCTGACACTTTGCTGGATGATAGTTTTAATGAACAATTATCACATTTTTTAAAAAAATTACCATTTTTCAAATCATCTCATTCTTTTGGATGTCAGTTAACTCTGTCCAGTGCAACACTTCCTCAAAATTTAGATGAACTTTTAAGCGGCATCATAGCTCCTGAATCAATACATCCTGTTCACACAGAAAATTTGCACAAGACTCAACCACATGTGCCGCAAAAATTCATGCGTATGTCACAAATGGCAAAACCTACAGAATTACTGAGATTAGTAAAATTTGATTACCAAAAGAAATACCCAGTGATTATATTCTCAAATAAAACCGAAACTTGCGATTGGGTTTCAATGTTCTTGAACGAAAATGGATTACCTTGTGTTAACTTAAACGGAGACATGCCTTATGTATTCAGACTAAACACATTTGAAAAGTTTCAAAAGGGCGAAGTAAATATAATATCATGTACCGATATAGGATCGCGCGGACTGGACACAGTGCGAGTAAAACATGTCATTAATTATGATTTTCCATTATATTCAGCCGATTATATTCATCGATGTGGAAGAACAGGACGAACGGGTAGCCCTGAGGCTTGTCATGTAACAAATTTTATTTCGAAACCGAGAGAAATCGAACTGGTGCAACGGATTGAGACATCTGTACGTAGAAAGAATACACTTCCAAATGTTAATGGAAATATAACGGGTATTGTGAAGAGGAGGGTAATAAGAAATTTGAATAAGGAAATGATTAAGTTGAGGATATGATGAATATTGCAGTTGTGTAACGTTTTATTTAAATAAATTTATTTACTTATAACTTTTGTTTTTATTCACTTAAGGGGGTATTCTACTGTAGAAGCATGAATTTCGCCCGGTTTTTGAAGCGCTGTATAAAGGAAACAAATAATATTTTTACTATCGATTTTATTATCATTTGTTTATTGATATTTTATTATTACATAAAAAAATTATTAAGAAAAAATAATTAAAATTCACAAAGTTATGAGCAGTCAAAGTGGGGGCTAAAAAAAAGGTGTCCTGTCGTGCATGATTCCAACCCTCCTGGTGATTTGAAACATAAAAAATATATGGATTCTTAATTATTATAGATGCCGCTATCGTATGACCCTTGGATAAGTTAAAAATCAATTTTTTGTTTGAATGGCGGCAGTTTAAAAATTTTTAATTTTTTTCATGTTTTTTTAACAATTCCGAATTTTTTTAAAATATTAAATGCAAAGTTATAGTTTTGGGCAAGGTCCACGCGATAAAGCGATTTATAGAGAAGATCCTCTCCAAATTTGAAGTAAATCGGTTCATTAGATCTCGAGATATCCTTACCGCCAACTCGAAAAAAGTAGTTCCGAAAAAAACGCGTTCAAAGTTTTGAGACAAGTCGGACCCGAACCGAGGCACGTCACTAAAACGGCTATAACTCAGGAAATAATAGTAATTTTGAAAAATCCTTTTAATGACATATTTTTGAATAACTAAACTTTGAAAATATGGAAAAAAAATTTCAATTTTTCAAAATTCTGCAGTAGAATACCCCCTTAATAGCATTTCTATTAGGTTGTCAAATATCTCCCTTCCGCTTTTTTGCTCTTGGTTCATAATACAAAAAGGCGGAAGGGAGATATTTGACAACCTATTATGTAGGAAATATAGTAGTATCCTTTTTTTTGCATAAATGTTTTATTGCGTAACAAGTTTATATAAACACATAAATGTTGGATATAAATATTTAAAAAACTGTTTGATCCATATAGATCAAAGTGACTGATATGAAGTAAAAACTTTCATTACTACACTACAACGCCTGTTTATTATATTAAAGCTTTCCAATCGAATCTAGCATTATTGGAATGTGAAATAGGCATCGTCGGTGCTTCTTTAAGTTCCCAATGTTCTTTTTCCACCTCATATTCAAGCGTCACAAGACTACAATAGGGCACTTGAGGTAGCAGTTTTCTCATATCTTTAGCAGGCCTTATATCTTTTCCGATTAGCTGCCTGCTACAAACATCAAGAGATGAAGCATGTCCAACAAGTAGAACGTGCCCACCTAAAAATGAATCGCGTCAATAACAAATTTTATGCTTTACTCAAGTACTATTAGTCCAGTCATTTGGTCGTTTTGCCGGTACAGTACTCCGGCAATTCTGAAAATTGGTAATCCTATAGATTTCGAGGTGCTCTTTACGAAAATCAACTGCCACCTTAAATTTGTCAGAAATTTGAACGGCAAGTTGCCGCCATATTGCAAAAATGGCGTCCAAAAACAGCTTTTTTAAAATATCTCCTTTTAGGCTTATTCTACGATAAAAGTATTATTCTACGAATTAAACTAGATAAAATTTCCTGCAATTCTTTAGAAAACCGTTTTTTATGTAAAATTGATAGTTTGAGAGTACGGCCGCCTCAAAGTCTTTGCTGCTCTCGCCTTAGTATCAAATCTCGCCATATATGACAGCACTTTGAACTTGACCACATTCTCTCTAATAAATAAATATTTTCAATGTTAAATTAAGCGAATAAGATCTAGAAATAAAATAATTCAAATATTTCTCTGTGTTTTGCTGATTTTTTTAACACTTCAAGCTACAGTAGAACTCCAATTATCCGAACTCCAATAATCCGAACTCCGACTATTCGAATCGCCGATTATCCGAATAACTTTCAGAAAAAAAATTGGTCAAAAAAGTCTAAATGCGCTATTATTCTTCCACCAGCAAAGCCAGTGTAGGCACATTGTTTGTTTTGATTTGACGGAGATGTTTACAAAACAATGATTTTTATTTCTAAACTTTTTTTTTTTTTAACTCGTTTAAGTACATTTTATTTATATTTAAAACATGTGAAAATGTCATGTTTTTTTATGTAATTCAATAAAAAAATAGTGCAATATCAAAACGTAACTTTTTTTCTCTCCAATGGCAATTTAAAAAAAACTCCGATTATCCGAATATTTGATTATCCGAATGGGTCCCGGTCCCCATTAATTCGGATAATTGGAGTTCTACTGTACTTACGTACAGCTACTTTGCTACCGAAGTGTTAAAAAATCAGCTAAAAAACAGAAAAATATTTGAATTATTTTATTTCAAGATCGCTTAATTTAACATTGAAAATATTTATTTATTAGAGAAAATGTGGTCAAGTTCAAAGTGCTGTCATATATGGAGAGATTTGATACTACGGCGAGATCAGCAAAGACTTTGAGGCGGCCGTACTCTCAAACTATCAATTTTACAAAAAAAAACGGTTTTCTAAAGAATTGTAGGAAATTTTATCTTGTTTTATTCGTACATAGATACTTTTATCGTAGAATCAGCCAGAAAGGAGATATTAGATTGACAAATATCTCCCTTCCGCTTTTTTGCTCTTGGTTTATAATACAAAAAGGCGGAAGGGAGATATTTGACAACCTAATATTTTAAAAAAAGCTGTTGTTTGACGCCATTTTTCCAATATAGCGGCAACTTGCCGTTCAAATTTAAGGTGGCAAAGTTGATTTTCGTAAAAAGCACCTCGAAATCCATAAGATTACTAATTTTCAGAATTCCCGGAGTACTGTACCGGCAACAGCCTTTTTTGCACCAAATGACTGGACTATATTCTCTAACCGGTATTAGCTGTATTATAGATCACAGATTTCGCCACTTTACTGCTTCTATTAAAGAAATCTTCACATGATTCTTGATAGCCAGCAGTTCGATACAAACTAGAGCTTATTATAGGAATGTATTCAGTATTAATATTATATCCAGCAGTAACTAATTCTTGTTCTGTTATCCAATCCGGGCATCCATCAGGGTACCATGTTAGCCATTCAAATAATCCTGGTTCAATGTTTATTTTCTTTGTGGATTTTATACCTAAGCCTAAAAATCGACTTTTGAGTCACAAATCTGTACTAAATAGTAATATTTTTCTTCACCTTCCAAAACCGCGGAACAAGTTTGTACACATCGATAGGACGGTGAACAATACACATGGCTGATTTCAATATTTTCTTTTTTTAGTGCTTCCCCTGTTGAAGTGGCTTGAAAGATACCGACTCGCGTGAGAGGAGAATCGTGAGCATATCCTTTAGAACCCATTTTCCTAAATAATAATAATTATAAATAATTTCAACTTCTACTACGCTCGTAACACTATTCATTGCGCAGCAAAAAAATATCACATTTTTGCATAACAAGAAATAAACATCATTTATTTGTCTGATTCTATTTATTGAGGACGATATGATATGAAAACCCATGGAAAAAAATGAATATTCAGTTTGCTGACACTTGTTTATACAATAGAACGACCTAAAGAGATATGTTTTAAGCAATTATAAGATTTAAAATTTATATGGTTCCTAGAAGCTCAAAATCAAAGGTGTAACAAGTACCTATTAGCGCTTTTATTTCATTACCGATAATTTTAAGGTATTTACCGGTATTAATACCGCCGAAAAATTAGGCGGTATACCCGGTTAGTAAAAACCGTCTCGAATTGTCCTATTAAATTTTTTTTATACATTGTACTATCATTGAAAATTAAATATTACCTAGTGGGTATCGTGTCCTAAGACAAATTGCTTGAACTTCCCGTACTGAAAATTAATTTTTTTAAAAATAGTTTTGAATTATTTTGAAAAACGTTGAAAAAATTCAATTTCTGAGAGTCTTGGAATTTTTGAGAAAAAAACTTTTTTGAAAAATTTGAATTTGTTTTTTATAATTTGTTATCATTTTGCACCGTATCTTCAAATCGGATGAACCTGCCTTAGCCAAAAACTAATCAGCACGTCCCCTTATCAATACGAACCGAATGTTTCCTGAATTTTTCAAATTGATAGATCCGTGTTTCTGAAATCGTCGGCGCAAATTTGTATCCGCACACACTCACAAACACACACACACACACACACACATACACACATCCAATTTTCTACGTTATGCCAAAATATTCGGAAACTTCTAATAAAATTTAAAAATGTCTATAAAATATAGGGTCCGCCAACTAGCTTTTTTTGAAAAATTCCTTAAAAAATCTACTGAATATTTTGACAATTTTCTTTTTGTTTGAAAATTCTATTAAAAAACCACTAAATACACTAAATATTTTCACTTTTTTTATTTGAAAGTGAAATGTAAAGAGTGCAGAGTACACAGTAGGGTTGCTTAAGTCGTACCCCCTAAAAAAAGTTATTTGGCGGACCCTATATTTGATAACTTGAGGTGCATATGTCTAATGATCATTTTTGACCGCCAAACCGCCGGTACTTCATTTTGTTAATACAAATTAAATGTTCTTTGAATTATTCAAATCGGTCGCTCTTGTTCTCTCAAAAACTCGATTTCTATTTTCTGCGCTCTTTGCTCCTTATCTCCGAAACGGCTAGACCTGCCTTAGCCAAAAACTAATCAGCACGTCGCTTTATCAATACAAACCAAATTTTTTTTGAATTTTTTAATCGGTAGATCCGTGTCTTAGAAATCATCGACGAAAATTTGTACCCGGACGTACAACACATACACATGTACACATCCACTTTAAGCCATGCCAAAATGTTCAGAATTTTTATTAAAATTAAAACGTAAAGATATATAAAAAAAATTCATTTTCGATTTTTTTGCGCTTACTATAACTTACCCTACGGGAAGTTAATTAAGTACTAAAAATATAAAAATTGTAACAAACCTCTTAGGTAACGTAAGCGGCATATTCAAATCCCTCCTCGAATAGTTATCATGTTCATCAAAGCAATACGGTATCCACTTCCCAAAAGTGAAATCAATCCTTTCCCCATGCCTCATTATAAATACTTTTCGAACACTTTTGCAACTCACATCCCTCACAGTGGAAGCATCGCCACTATTATGAGAATCCGAATCTGATGTGTTATTATTCTTGTTAAGAGAATCTTCATAATGCAAATCGTTTTGATGTTGACCGTCATCGTTTGTATCCGTAGATTTAGTTTTATGGGTAGGCGAAGCTGGGATAAAAAAACGTGTTATAAAGTTATTAAAATTGTGTCAAGTGTTAGTTTACCTGTATCGTTTCTGGAGGAAGGACAGTCTACTTCATCAAACGATTCTTGTATATCGTTTGATGAATTATCACATAATTCCACCATGCGATGCATTGTCCAAGAATCGGATTCCGCCGTTCGCTCGGTGTAACTTTCAGGGAGATACCCTGTTGTACCTATTTTGTAAAAAAATATAAGGAAAAACCATGAAATTTAAGGGGTCTAGTCTAGAAGTTTTAAGAAATCGATTTTATTTCTCGAATCTGTCTTTTTCGATACGATACTCACGATTTCTCAACTCATACTAAACCGATTTCCTTAAAATTTTTAGAGAGTCTTCTATATAAACTCATCAAAAAGAACTGCGCTCATCCTCAAATCTTAATTTTTACTTTTTTTTTTAAAATCGAGATTTTCAAAAGCATTGTGATTTTTTTTAACTTCCCGTAGGGTAAGTTATAGAATCGCAAAAAAATCGAAAATGCAAATTTTTCCATATCTTTACGTTTCAAATGTTTCTGAACATTTTGTCATACCTCAGAAAAAATGGATGAATGTGCGTGTGTTCGGATACAAATTTTGGTCCACGATTTCGGGCGCACGAATCATCCGATTTGAATGATTTAAAAAAACATTCGATTCCTATTAATAGGGAGATGTGCTGATTAGTTTTTGGCAAAGGCAGGTCTAGCCGTTTCGAAGATACGGGGCAAAAAGTGCCAAAAACGGTAGCTTAGTTTTTAAGAGAACGGAGCGTCCGATTTTAATAATTCAGAAAACATTTTACTTGTATTGACGAAATGAATAACTGATCAAATTTTTGGTAAGGCTGGTCAGGCGGTTTCAGAGATACAGAGGAAAAAGTAAAAACAAAATATATTTGGCGGTCAAAAATGAACATTAGACATAATCACATAAAATTATCAGATATTTGATAAAGTTTTTAAAAATGAGCACAAATTTTATTAGGTTCCGTACTAAGATTTTTAATTTTCAAAGTTTAACATATACAGTTCAAACAAATTTCAAAATTTTCAGAAAAAAAATCAAAATTCTTAAAAATATACAAAGTTTTATACTTCAAATATGAATTTTGAATTTACAATTCAGTTTGAAAATGTAAATATTTTAAATGCGTTATTCTAATCGTAAGAAATATATCTTCAGATGGATTCATTCGGTACCTCTTGCTAATGTAAACTTTCTTAAGTGTTTCATGAACGATAAAATATATAGTGATTATAATTATCTATTTGAAAATGTTTAAATTCATTGTTATTAATCATTGGTCAATATTTTATTGATTACTTATTTTTTTCCCCAAATTTTTAATTCTGGTACAGGAAGTGCCAGCAATTTGCCTTGAGGCACAATACCATGCACTACTAGTTTCATGTTCTACTCGAATCTGTCTTTTTTGATACGATACCCACGATTTTCCAATCTATACTAAACCGATTTTACGCTCCTCATCAGTATGAACTACGCTCATCCCCAAATCATAATTTTTACTAAAACTAAAATCGAAATTTTCAAAAGCGTTGGATTTTTTTTTCATTTTATTCATTTTCATACGAATGCGACATATTATTAATTATTAATATTAGATTAGAATAATAATTCTTTTCACCTGTTAACCACGAAAGACCTTCGACCCAACCATCAGGAGTATTAGCAACGGCGTCGCCGCTTAAATATATGTAATCGCCGATCCTCAACTCCAATTCATCTGGTTCCCTCGGGTTATGTGGATGTAAAACTTTATGCACCTAAAATATAAAACGATTAATTAGTTAAGAATAAATAAACCCCAATATTTTATTATTATTATTTCTTCAACCTGTTTAGAAACTAATCTAGGATCTCTCGAATATAATCTGAGCTCCCAAGAAGCAGCTTGTGGCGGCTGTAGTTCTTCGACGAGAGCTTTTAATGCACCATATTGCGAACTTGGAAATTGGTAAGCCAAAGTCAAATGCAAAGATTTAACATGAGGCTCCAAAGAAATCGCTGGAATAATTGATGATATTTGTAATTTTATACCTGTTAATTTTTTAACTCTAAAAAATTTATGTTTGAACATAAAACGTCAACAAAAATACTTTAATTTATGAAACAAATAATAATGCATAGCGCCTACTAGACAACATAAATAAATAAAGTAATATTTTAGAAATTATTGTGGTACTCCGACTTACGAGGGATTTGACATACAAGTGTTTTGGGATACGAGCGGCCGAAAAAGCGGTTTGTTTGCTTCAACATACGAGCTTCGAGCGAGTAAGTTTTCTAAGCAAATGTCTAAGAAAAAAAAAACAACTTAGTGGTGCATGGCATCGTGCCTTAAGGCAAATTGCTGGAACTTCCCGTACCGTAATTTAAAAATTCTTTAACGCCTAAAAAAATAGACTTTTTTGAGAATATTGAATTATTTCGAACATTTTTGAAAATTTAGTAAACATTTGTAAAATTTTAAATTGAAAAAAAGCCTTGTTTGAAACTACTGATATTTTTTTAAAAACTTGGGAATTTTTTGAAAACTGAAAGTTTTTGATACCTATTAATATCGAATGATTCAAATTATAAAAATATCTGGTTTTCGACCGGCAAATGGCATTTTTTTTAATTTTCCCTGAATTTTCGAAACCGCTTGATCTGGCTCTTCAAAAACGTAATCAATTCTTCATTATATTAATACAAGCGGAATGTCGTTTAAATCATTCAAATCGGATGCACCGTTCTCTCACAAACTGAATTGCCATTTTTGGAACTTTTTGCCCCGTACCTTCAACACTGCTAGACCTGCCTTTGTCAAAAACAAAATCAGCACGTCTCCCCATCAATAGGAATCGAATGCTTTCTGAATCATTCGAATCGGCTGATCCGTGTTCTCAAAATCGTCGACGAAAAATTGTATCCGCACATATATACACACACACCCACAAACATATATACATAATTTTTTTCTAAAGTTAGCCTAAATGTTCAGAAAGTTTTGAAACGTAATGAAATAATATATAAAACTTTTCATTTTCGATTGTTTCACCCACAAACATATATACATCATTTTTTTCTGAATTATGACAAAATGTTCAGAAACTCTTGAAACGTGAAAATATATAAAGAAATTTATTTTAGATTTTTTTCCTACAACTTAGTCTATGGAAAATTAATGATTAGTAAAGTTATTTTTAATATCCAGAAAACTTGACAATAACCACAGTTCTTTTCAATGTTTTTATATGGGATAAATTGCTTTGAGATACGAGCGTGAGTACGAAACGATTTAAACTCGTATGTCGGGGTACCACTTTAGTTAATAATTACTACAGCTCATAATTTATTCATAATTTAATCAAATAAACTACTTTTACTTCAGTTAATACCCATTATGTACCCATTAAATATGATATTACCATAACACTTAAAGCAAATAATCATCAGATATAAACTTAAAGCAAAAAGAAAAGCTTTTCCTAACAAATCTTACATCTGCTTCCTCTAGGAATACATCGAGCACCAGGAGCACCTCCGCACCAGGGAAAACAAGCGGCTAAAGCATCCAGTTGTTCATAAGTATCACTAATTACTGACCCCAACACCGATAAGAATAAATATCATAGTATACAAATATATTAAATACAAATACAAAAGCAACAATACAATGCTAAGAAGTAATATTAGTAAATGAGAAAAATAATGAAGCTCTTAATTATAACCAGAGAAATTTATGCCAGAGATGAAGTAGATTACCACAAAATTAATTAATGAAGGAATTAAGCTATCATTTTTCTGTTTTATTTATTTACTGTCGAAATATGAATGAATCCTTTTACAGATGAATGAGATGAATATAATTGTGATATATTTATATATACATGTATATATATATATATATATATATATATACATAATATAAAAATGACTAGCAAAATGTGTTGGTAAGCGCATAACTCAACAAAACCTGGACCAATTTGGCCAATTCTTTTTTTAAAATGTTCGTTCAAGTCCAAAGATGGTTCTTACGAAGAGAAAAAATCGAATAATTGCCGGAAAAACCCTAAAAACAGCCTTTTTCACGTACAAACGTTTTCTAACTAAAACGTAGAATCAATTTGAGCGTTACAATTCTTCTGTAAAAGGGTATGAAACGATAATCCTTCTAAACGATTATTCGAATTTTGATAAATCTTTTTGAAGTTTGTTATGGGATTTTTTTAGGATTATTAAAAATCTAGATAGATTGTAGAAATGAATGGCAAAAATTATAAAAAACCGCTTATCATTCATTGACATTGAAAATATTTGTGGCATTGTTTGGCATTGAAAAGACTGTCATTTGCCATTACCTTTAAAATAGTATATTACAAGTTCTGAATTAAAAGAGTTGTGATCCAATTCTCGGGATTAAGATTAGCCTATTTCCAAAATATAATGCAAATTGGAGCACAGTAAAAAAAATCACAGGGCCCACGCCTTTTCCTGTCCATTTACTGCAATAATTTTGTTGATCTTAGGTTGAATAGAGCACATGAGAACAGGATTTGTCAAATTAATTCACTTCAAATATGAACTTAAGTAATAATGTATATTGAATTATTAGTGAGAAAAATGTAATTTAGATATTAAAACTACTAAGAGCCATTTAAAATCTGGTACGAAATTATAGAAATTATAGGCAAAATTATTGAAGCAATTATTTTGGGTAGAAAATTTCCAGGTGATATTATACCTTTACCGCAAATTCTATATATTAATTTTTTCTGAATTTGTTATACCATTCAAAAGCGTTCTTATGCTATTACCATAAATACATCACAAAGACAATATAAGGCAGATGATGATTTTTTGTGTAAAAAATTTGGAAAATCAATGTTTTAGTCGTGAATAAACAAAAAATCATTCATTTATACATCCACATCTACAGGTATGACTAAAAATATTGTATAACCCTAGGCATTAAAATAAATTGAGCTATTAGAAATAAATTTGTTCTATAAATTGCAGTGTATAATTTTTAATATACAATTGTATTGAACATATTTTAATATTTGTTAAAGGGATAATTAAAGTGTTAACTGTGGGAATTGAAAATCATCATTATATTTGAAGCAGTTCATATATTGGTGTAAATAGTAATTCAAAAAACAATAATTATTATTTTTAACTAAACGCTGAATATTAGTATAGGATGTTAAAAAAATGTACATGTCGGTACAGGACAACGTCTGTCGGGTCATCTAGTATATATATATATATATATATATATATATACATATGTATTACTATTTTTGTTGGTGCTCTGCCCGAAGACATCACTAAATGAAATATAATTCTAATATTATCAACTTACATAAATATTATAAATTTTCACCTACTTGAATTAGATACTTCTTTAACATATTGCAAAGCAATTCTCTTAAGATGATCGGCATCTTCTTCTGATACAAAAAACCCCATAAAATTGGGACTTGTGTACGGTTCTAATTGTAATGGACGATTCAATTTGGCACCGGCCAACTCTACGACTTGTTTTAAAGCTCTTGATAATTGTGGGGCACATTCATCTGGAGCCTGAGGTAAAGGAAATATAAAAATAGTATAAATACTACACAATGGTCATTCAATCTTAAATGATTATATATATAAATATTGAATTATTACCTTGAAGAAAGAAACTAATGTAATATGTGGTGTAAAATTATGTGCTCCATTCCACCCACAAAGTTCCTTCGATTTCTTCCAGAATTCTTGTAATTGATGTAGAAAAGACCCAGTAGGGCAAGCATATAAAATATATTCCCTAGGCACATTTTCATCCAACGAAGGATCATTAACATGTGCCAAAAGCCAATCTGAAGCTAACTGGACACCTCTATTACCGGTAGCTGCCAAAGCCTTCTCTCTGAATGAATTTCAATATAATTACATGTATTGCATTTGATTAAATTTTATTTATTTATTCAATTGTTCTACTTACGCTCTGTGTTTAGGAAATCCCATTTGCAATAATATTTGCAAGGGTGTTAAGTGTTGTTTGGATATTTTTGTTGGTGTAGGATTTCGTCTGGGTGGTAATGTAGCCATGATGCAAATATTTTGTTAATTTAACGTCTAAAAGTGATCCACAAACAAACAATTAAAGCAAATTTACATAGTTTGTCTAAAGAGTGCTGATTCAACTTGAATTTTGACATTTCAGCATATTTCTTTTTATTGTTGACGTTAGTAAAGACACAAAGCAAAGAAGAAGTGGTTCAGAATAATTCCAAAAGAGCGCAACGTGTGTATTGTTTTCGTGTTATTTGGTTGGTATGTAGTTCCGGCTAAGAAAAGTCCCGGATTTCCGGGTAATGGATTTAGGACTTTTGACACGGATTTCCGTTTAACGGATTCAGGACATTTGTCCCGGATTGACCCAAACTTGAAACTCTAGGCCTAAATTGAATCTTTGTATTAACAGTACTTAATAATTAAATGATTAACTTTCCGAAGGAGGAGTTTATATTTTTGCAAAAAAATCGTTGTGGTTATTTACATTTTCGATTTTTTTGCGATTACCATAACTTATCCGGGAATTACTATAACTATATACAGGAAGTTAATAATTAGTAAATTTAGTTTTAATATCCAAAAAACTTGAAATATGAGATATATTTCAAAAAAGCGCAACGGATGTAGTGTTTTCCATAGATAAGAAAAGTCCCGGATATCCGTTTAACGGATTTAGGACTTTCGTCCCGGATTGTCCCGAATTCAAAAGTCTAGGCATAATTAAAGAAGAGTATATGAGTCTAGGCTTAAATTGAATCTTACCTATTAATTAATAATAAAATTATTAAATTCCCTAAGAAGGAGTTTGTTTTTGAAAAAAAATACGTTATACTATATATAATTTTATATTTTCTCGACGTTTCATATAATTCTGAATCAAATGAAATCAAAGTTGGAAAAAGTAGGGTAGAGCGGGATACAAAGGTCCAATTTGATTTTCACCAATTATATTGTAAAAACCAAACTAATTATATCACAAAAATAACACTAACCTTTATTACCCTAGGGAAAGTTAATAATTAGTAAATTTACTTTTAATATCCAAAAATCTTGAAATATGAGATAAATTCCAAAAGAGCGCAACGTGTGTACTGTTTTCCCTAGATACGAAAAGTCCCAGATTTCCGTTTAACGAATTCAGGAATTTTGTACTGGATAGTCCCAAATTAAAAAGACTAGATTTAAATGGAATCTTGGTTATTAATGAATAACAAAATTATTTACTTCTCGGCGGTTCATATAATTTAACTTTCTCGGCGGTTCATATAATTCTGGATCAATTGCGACCGAAGTTGGAAAAAGTAGGGTAAGGCGAGACCCAAAGGTGTAATTTGATTTTTAGCAATTATATTGTTAAAACCGACCCAATTATATCACAAAAAATAACACTATCTGACTATGTTCAGTAAAACTCTTAGCTAACACATCATTGCAGAAATTTGTTATTTTTGCTGTTTTTCAAAAATTTGTAACTTGGTCCGATAGGCGGTTTTAATTTTGAAGATTTTACGGAATATTTGCTATATTATTCGACCGGTACAAAATATAAATTTCATGGATACATTTTTTACAAAGATAAAACTGTATATAACCTTGATCTGGTATTTTGTCAGAAATATTAATTGGTATAACTATTTATTTAATTTATCTCTTGTAATATTGTTTTTTTAACTAAATTTACGTTTATATTTACTATTTTTTATTGTTGTACACCTTTGCCAGAATGACGGTTCAGTTGGTCCATTTTACCTCAGCCAAAAGTAAGCTTTTATAAAGGTTATATAAAAAACTGTTCAATCTTTCAATTCAAAATTAACAATACTTCTTATGAAACAATTAAATAACGTATACCTAAAAATTATATTGAGGTCTTGTAAACTAAACAATAGTACTCACAACCCAAAAAACTAACGACTTTTGTTATGGATTTTTAAACATTGCTATTTATCTCCTGATAGCAACATCGTAAGAATCAAGGTGATGGCTGGTTATACATCATTTTCCCTGTACTTTCAAATATTGTTGTTGAAGAATTCTTAACTTTACTTGCTTTCTAGATATGACCTATATTTTCTTCTAAATTCACCAATTTTTTAAATTTTTTTTATTTCTTATGTTTCAACATGCAATTTTACGTCAGCATCATTAAATTTGCATGAAATTATGTTTTTAATTTGCAGTTACAGAGACCCTTTACACTCGCGCATTAAATAGAATTTCAATTAATTAAGTCATACAGTTCAAAAAGAGCATTATCAAGGAAATCTTTCCCAGATGTTTGCACGTTTTCGTTTTCCCTCATTCCGTTCGCACCAGGAGCGTTAATGCGGGCAGACACGCATTTTCATATAAATCATACAGTCGCTAAAACGTTACAAACGGCGGAGATTTATTGCAAATTGCGCGCGAGGCGCTATATATACTATATATACTATATATATATATATATATATATATATATATATATATATACTAGGCTACATAGTCCACGTTCCGTGTTCTCTCTCGCAACTGTAAATGAAATCCTGTGGGTGCAATATATCACACATCGGATCATTTATAAAACAACTATGTACGATGCGAACGAGTTACGACTACGAGACGGCAGAATACAAGATGATTGTGAATGAAAAATAACAAATAGTAGAGAATATCCAAAAATATATTGGACGCCACCAAAATAAGGTTGTTGAAGCTTTACATATTGAATGTTTTACTCCTTTCATTTGAGCACAGGACCCAGCGACGAAATCAATTTGGATATTGGCTAGAATCTGCTACCGCCAAAGCCCGACATCAGACAGCTTTAATGTCAACAAAAAAGTCACCAAAAAAGTCTTGGTTAAAATAGCTAAAGCTTTCTCTTGAAACAATAAAAACAATTGAGCACAACGAATGTGAATAAAATCAAACTTAGGATACAAAGATCCACTTTGACTTTTAAGCCAACTGCATCACAATAAAAACCACTTCAATTATATAACTATGTTCAGTAACATTTCCAGCTTATTCATCATTATAGAAATAAGTTTTATGGCTATTTTTCAAAATTTCGTCATATGTTTTTTTATAAACATTCACCATTCATTTTTAATTTCCATGATGTTTTTTTGTTTTTTAACTTCCCGTAGGGTAAGTTATTGTAATAGGCCGAAAATCGAAATTGAAAATTTTTACATTTCTCGACTTTTTGGAGGTTTCTGAACATTATGGCATACCTCAGGAAAAATGGATGTGCGTGTGTATGTATGTATGGATACAATTTTTCGTCCACGTTTTCGAGCGCACGAATCAACCGATTTGAATGGTTCACAAAACATGCGATTCCTATTGATAGGGAGATGTGCTGATTAGTTTTTGGCAAAGACAGGTCCAGCCGTTACGGAAATACGGAGCAAAGAGTGCAGAAAATAGAAATCGAGTTTTTGAGTGAACGGAGCATCCTATTTGAATGATCTAAAAAATATTCCATTAGTAATGATTGGGAGAAGTGATTATCAGCTTTTGGCAATGGCAGGCCCAGCCTACCATTACAATAATATTAACAATATTTTATTGATAATGATATAATCTTAACTATTCACTTATGAATAATTTCTTAAAAATAATGGCTAAGTTATTTCAATATTTACTAGAAAAATTGATGACTTAAATCCACTTAAGATGTTGGTGGACATTTTTACGCCCAAATTGAATATTTAATGGACTATTGAATTATATAAGCATATTTTAATAATAAAAAATCTTTATTGCATTTTGTCAACTACAGAAAATCAATTACCAATGCCTAATATATTGCGCAATTAATAAGTGTTCAGAAGTTATGTCACTACTACTAGTATGTACTTTAGGATACTTGATTCCGGACGGTTCGCCAGCCCGAGGCGTCTGTGAGTTATTAATGTTTTTTAATATGTCTCGACGACCCATGGCAAAAGTACAAGCAACTTGCAAACAGTAAATTATTACTCGAAGACAGCCTGCCAAGATACTCCTGGCGACCAAATGTAGGATGATACCATTTCATTTGGATAAAGAATTTTGTAAAGGACAAGTTTATGTATTCTCCAAGAAATCCAATTTGCTAACTAATGTTTTCCACGCTAACAGTTAGTTAACTGGCGTCGAACGTATTTGGTCAACTACGATAGATTTAAGGTTGTCAAATATCTCCCTTCCGCCTTTTTGTATTATAAACCAAGAGCAAAAAAGCGGAAGGGAGATATTTGACAACCTAATATATTTTGCGTCGTATATATTATTCTTTGATGGCAATATAAAACAGAGCCTCAAATGCTAATGCTTCATCATGAATATGCACAGCTTTGTAGAAAGTCATTCTTTTATCCGTATTCAAAACCGACAATGTACGTTTGTACGCGATACTGCGGTCTATTATCATACATATGCGGAAATCTTTTTTAAAGCATTCATTATTTTACATTACAACAATTCCTGCGCATCGCCGCCGCCGAGAGGTAACAAATGACTGCTACTTTGTACCTTGTACCTACCTAGTTTAATATAATGCCGATGCCGAAACCCGAACACGTACCTTTGCATATAACTATGAATAATCACCGGCTTACAGTAATGAATGCTCTAATATCTACATATCTGCCATTGTTTGGGGCACGATTTTACAATAAGCCGGTCGGCGGCTTTCTAGACATAATTTTCTTTCGTGATTCACCAAGAGTAGTCTTATATTGATAAATCTAATCATTGTCGAAAATGTGATCCATGGGTAAAAGTGGTAGGGTGGAAAAGGAAAATCTAACCATTATCAAAAATGTGATTTATGGGTGAAAGTAGTAGGGTATAATGAGGTTTAAAGATCTGGGAGTAAAAAAGTCTCCCATTATTATCAAAAACAAGCAAACTATAATTAAAACTAGTGGTGTATGGCATCGTGCCTTAAGGCAAATTGCTGGAACTTCCCGTACCGTAATGAAATATTCGAGAAATTTTAAACGTTTTGAAATACACTATTACAAATACTGTAACTTTGATTATTTTTGCTATCTTGTTAT